TTTGAATGTGTGCATATGTGTGTGAGTGTGTATATGTGTGTATGTGTGTGGGTGTATGTGTGTATGTCTGTATGTGTGTGGGTGTGTGTGTATGTTTGTGAGTGTGTGTATATGTGCATGTATGTGTGTGAGTATGTGTATGTATGTGTGTGAATGTGTGTATATGTGTATGTGTGTGAGTGTGTGTATGTGTGTATGTGTGTATGTGTGTGTGTGAGTGTGTGTGTTGGTGGTATTGCAGGTCTAGTTGTAGCACTGTGGCCTCGTTCTTTGTCATACTCACACTCACCCTGCTTGGGGCTCTGGCCCAGCCTCAGCTACAGTGCTCGCATGCATCTGGCCATGGGGGGCTGGATTTCACACCCTCCAGAGAACAGAGCAGAGCTCCCAGGCTCTGCACATGGGTGGCAGCAGAGATGTGACTGGAGGCCTCACGCTTGGAAGGCCAGGATGCTGTTAGCCGGTAACCCATCCTCCAGGTCCCTTTCTGACTCGGAGGATATTTTGTTTGGGTCTTGATTTTAGGGCCACACCTGGCGATGCTCAGGGGTTACTCCTTGCTCTGCACTCAGTAATGACTCCTAGTGGTGCCCGGAGGACCATCAGTGGTTCAGGTCACTGAACCCGGGTCAACTGCATGCAAGGCTAGAGTTTCACAGGCTGCACCATCGTTCTGGCCCCGCCTGAGCCCTCGGGACATGTCAGGTGGATCCTCCATCCATCCTCATCTATGCTTCTCTCCGTCCAAAAATATTTTGCAAAGGTGGAGCCGCTGACACAAAATCAGACTCTTCGAAGGCAGGGGGCTTGGCCTGGGAGATGGGAAGGACGGAGGAAAATTCTTTCCTGCCTCTATCAAGCTGGAGAGTACAGATTCCTGTCTAATCAATTACCTTCTAATCAGTCACAGCCTCTGTGTTCACCAATCGAGCTTCTCTGTCCTACTTCCTCCATCCGCTGACCAGAACAAACTCAGTTTAATACGGATGTAATGAGCTCGGGCTTGCAAAGGGCTTGGCTTGTGCGAGGCTTCACAAATGCTTTGGATTACGGGCTCACTGAAATGAATGAGGCGAGTGATCGATGCATTCCAGACATAGGTAAATGAGGGGACCCCAGGTCCCCGAGCAGGGCTGGAGAGCAGGAAGTCCAGAGGCCTGGAAAGAGAAAAAACCTTTGGGGACAGGGAAAGGCTGTGAGTTACAGGGTTGAGATGTCAGCAGAAGGCAGAGCGCCAGCCCCTCCCAGTGTGGATAAAGCGAAAGCTGACGGGGGGGGGGGGGGGGGGTGGGGGGGGGGGGAGCGGGGCTCCCTTCCCGCTATTTCAGCTCAGTCCAGGACCCGGCCTGATTAATCCCCACTTGCTACCTCTTGCCAAGGTGGGATGGGGGTGGGGACCCGGGAATGAGCCAGGCTTGGACCCCCGCTGAGTGCTTTCCTGCGAGGAGGGTGTCCATGGGCTGGATTTATGTCTTCCCAGATTCCCAGTAAGGCTATAAACAGTAACGTGATGAAATGGGCCTCGGAGCCAGAACAGGGAGGAGACCGGTCCCCGGGGAGCAGGGGGAGAGGAGCCCCCGGGGCGCGGAGAGAATCACAGCCGGCCAGGAAGGCGTTTGTGCTCCAAGGACGGATGAAGGCAGAGTCCCCAGGGCCACCCCCAGCCCACGGGGTCCTGGCTGAGCGCCCCGTGGCTGCAGGGTGAGGCTGGGGTCAGACGAGCAGGAATGGTGACCCTTTGAACAGGACAGACAGACACAGGGTAGTGGCTGGGCAAAAGGCTCATTCTTTCATGGGGGCACACCTGGTTGTTTTCGGGGAGGGGTCTCTCAGTTCCATGCTCAGGGGTCCCTGCCGTGGGGTCTCTGCGGCTCAGCTGGGTCTGGAGAGATTTCCTCACACAGGGTTATTTTTTTAGTTATGTCTTTTCCTGCTTGGGGAACCACACCCGGCAGTGCTCAGGGGTCACTCCTGGCTCTGTACTCAGGGGTCACTCCTGGCAGTGCTCAGGGGACCATCTGTGGTGCCAAGGGTGGAGCTGGGCTTGTCTGCATGCCCGGGATGCCCTTGTCTTCTGGTTGTTGCTTCAAGCAGAGAGACTGATTTCTCAGCTTCTGGAGGGGACCGTCCATTGCCTCAGCCTTCCTGCAGCTCCGGGGCCCACCTCCTGCAAGGCTTGTTCACACGCTTGCTCATGAATGCACACATGTCTACCCCCCACACACACACACAAGATGCATTTGTACATGCACTGTACATCTCTGCCCACGCATGTACACTCCTGTATGTTTGCATGCACAAGAGCACTGTAGGTCTGTCAGCTGCCATCTGGAGTCTGTGCTTTTTTTTTTTTTAATTGAATCACTGTGAGATACAGTTACAAAGATTCCAGGACTGAGTTTCAGTCATATAATGATTGAACACCCATCCCTCCACCAGTGCCTTTCCAACACCAATGTCCCCAGTATCCCTCCTGCCACTCAACCCCATCCCAAGCCCTGCCTCTGCAGTAGGCACCTTCCTTCTTACTCTCTCTCTACTTTGGGCATCATGGTTTGCAATACAGATACTGAGAGGTGTGTATTTTGTGTTTGGGTGTTTTTTTGGGACAGGGACCACACCTAGTGGTGCCCAGGGCTTACTCCGAACTCTGCTTAGGGATCTCTCCAGGAGGGCTCAGGGAACCTTATAGGGTCCCAGGGGGGGGGCTCAAACCTGAGTCAGCAGCATGCAATGCAAGTGCCCTCCCTGCTATACTATAGCTCAGGACCCCTGTGTGTGTTTCTTCTTTTTTCTTTTTCTTTTTAAAAAATGAATCACCATGAGAGAACCAGTTACAAAGTTGTTCATAAATGGGTTTCAGTCATACAACGTTCCAACTCCCATCCCTTCACCAGTGCGCATTTCCCACCACCAACGGCCTCAGTTTCCATCCCACCACCCTTCCCCCAGCCCCTAGCCTGTGTCTATGGCAGCCAACTTCTCTCTCCCCCTCCCCCACCTCCCTCCTCTCCCCGCCTCCCTCTCCCTTTGGGCATTGTGGTTTACCATTTTGCTCGAGTGGGCCCAGTAACGTCTCCATTGTGAGACTTGATGTTACTGTGTTTGGCATATCGAGTACGTCACGGGGAGCTTGCCAGGCTTTGCCGTGCGGGCGAGATACTCTCGGCAGCTTGCCGGGCTCTGGGAGAGGGGCGGAGGAATCGAACTCGGGTCGGCCATGTTGGCTGCATGCAAGGCAAACGCCCTACCGCTGTGCTATGGCTCCAGCCCTGTAGTTTACCATAAAGGTACTGAAAGGTTATCATGGGGGAGCAGGGAGGGCAGTCAGGACAGAGAAAGGACCCCTATGACAACAATAGTTGGAATGATCCCTCTGGACAATAACCGAGTGCTGGAAGGTTCAAGGGCTACACACGATAACCTTTGTGTGTTTTGTGGTTTTTTTTGTTTTCTTTTTGGGTCACACCTGGCTCTGCACTCAGGAATTACTCCTGGCGGTGCCCGTGGGACCATATGGATGCTGGGAATCGAACCTGAGTCTGCCGCATGCAAACGCCCTACCCATTGTGCTATTGCACGAGCCCTAACCTTTGTGTGTTTTTGCACGGGACCACTCCTGGCTGGGGGTGTGGACCTGCAGCACCAGGGGTCGGGGATGGGCATTGAACCCACTGGGCTGGTGCCATTGACTGAGCTGCACTCCCAGCCCTGGGGTGTTTGTGTGAAGAGATTCAGAGGTGCGGCCCTCGAGCTGCTCAGCCTTCAGCCAGACACGGAAGTTCCCCCCACAGCACACACATCCACTCTCTGGGCGCCTGCGGAATTGGAAGTGTTTTCCCAGCCTGTGTGTCCTTCTTGCTGGGGCAGAGCCCAGCGCCCCACCCTCCCTCACCACCGTCTGCAGTGGGCGCTGGTTCCTTTCCCCAGGGTTCCCACAAGAGAGGTCACTCCTTGCTGGCCGGTGTGCATGGGCGGCCCTGGCTGAAGCAGAAAGCCAGTCAGAGCTGGGCTCCGCAGCCCCCAGGAACTCAGGAGTGGAGCTGCGGGTGCTGGACTGGGCACTCAGAGGGTGGACAGAGGGCCTGGCCCTGCTCTGGGAGCCCCAGTGAGACAGCTGAGCAAGGAGTAGCAGTGGAGGTGAAGGGTTTTAATCTGGGGGACCCTCGGCCCATTCCTACTAGCTCCTCGGGGCTTGGAGTCAGTCTCCTGTCGGGGGCCCCCGGGTGGGAGGCAGCCTCCTGCCTCTCAGGGCACCTCTGGGTCCTGGCAAGAGCCCCGAAGCTCCATCCTGCTGAGTCTCAGGCCCCCCAGCTGCTGCGTGCTGGGCAGCAGGGGCTGGGCAGATGCTGCCTGTAAGGACAGGCCTTGTGGCACTTAAACAGCTAGCAAGGGAGGTGACTCTGCCTGCACCGCAGCACCGCAAAGTAAACAGATGAAAGGGAAATAAAGAAAAGCAAACATGCAGCTTCTGCTACTTCTGCTTTTTTTTTTTTTTGGGGGGGGGGGGGGGGCAGCACGCACCTGGCCACATTCAGGGCTTTCTCCTGGCTCTGCTCGGGGATGGCTCCTGGTGGACTAAGGGAACCACATGGGGGATGGAACTCAGGACTGCGGGTGCTTTTTGCTACTTGGACAAATGCCCCAAACACATCAAATCAGGAGTTGAAACTGGTCTGCGCAAGTAAATGTCAGGGAGCAGGGCCTGGGGTGTTATGGCCCCATACTCCCCGAGACAGTGCTCCCCAGGCAATGTAGGGAGGTGCTGTGAAGAGTAGTACCCTAGTCCCTAACCTGTCTCACCACCTGCCTGGGAGGAAAATCAGGACCCCCAGGTGTGGGAGCCCTTTGACCCCCTCCTTCTTATCCCCTCCTTGACTGAGACCCCGGGGCAGGCAGGCACCAGCTGGGGGGATGGTTAGGACGTGGGCCCCGGGGTGGGGGGAGGCTGGGCTGGCCCCACAGGGGTCTGCTGACAGCCCTCACTCACTCCTTCACAGTGAGGTCGGCTGGCGGCGACGGAGATGTCTTATGTGCTGCAGAAGAGGAGCTGGCTGATGAGGACATGGCCTTCCCGGGAGCACAAGCAGGTAAGGGATGAGGGGGCCCGGTTTCCCCTCGGGGCTCAGGACCCCGCCCCTCCAGCCCCTCTACCATGGCGCGCACTTTTCCTAGTCCCTGAACCTTGGCCCCTGGCTCCCTCCATCCAGGTGGAGGACCCCATGGCTGGCTGGCAACTCTGGCTGGGGTTCCAGAAGCAAAAGGACGGGTGGGGGGCAAACTACGGGGGTTTTCCCAAGGGCTTCACTTCCAGTCTCAGGGGTCAGGGAGCAGCAGTAGAGCCCGTGCCTCAAGGGCGTGGCCTGGGCTTAGCACCACATACACACATGCTTGAACACACACATGCATACATAAGGCATGCACACACACACACATGCTTGCATAGATGCATCACACATGCACGTGTGCACATAGATGCACACATGAGGCATGTACACATGTGCTCACACCCATGCATACAAAGGCATGTACACATATGCGTGTACTTGCACATATGCATGGACACACTTGTGTGCACATGCATGCACACACAAGGCATGTACACATGTTATCACACACGTGCACACAACATACACACAAAGGCATGTACACATACACACGTGCTCATGCATATGTATGCACATGCATGCACACACAGACGTGGATACACATACACAGTGCTCATGCATACACGTGCACATGCATGCATGCACACAGGCACATACACACATATGCAAACACACACATACACACACAATAAAAAATCGAGTCTGGGCAAAGCAGGGGTGAAGGAGGAATGCAAGAGCTTCAACACTCAGACCCAGGAAGTCTCCCTACTGGTCAGCCAGAGGGTGAGGTGGGCTGGTGCCCACCAGCAAGGACAGAGGAAGGTCTCAGAGAGTCATGGTCTAGCCCTGGCTTCCCAGAAATCACCAATCCCCTTTGTTCCCAAAAGGTGAGTGCTTGGGGGCACGTGGAGAGAGACTGGGGATGTCCAGCCACAAGGCCCGGCCCCAGCTTCCAGCCACTAGCCCAAGCCCTGCCTTCCTCTGCCTCCCAGGCCAACTAGGCCCTCACTGCAGTCGCTGCCAGCGGAACCTGTCCCTGCACACGTCCGTGCGGATTCTGTACCTCTTCCTGGCCCTGCTCCTGGTGGCCGTGGCCGTGCTGGCCTCGCTGGGTGAGTGTGGCCCCCACTGCCCCTCTGTCTACTCTCCCGGCCCTGCTCAGGGCTCTATCCCCAGCCCTTTGAGTCTCGGGGTCCCCAAACGACATCCTCCTGGCTCGGAAACCATCCCGTGCCCAGCAGTGATCATGCAGTGGGGAGGCATTTGCCTTGGATGAAGCCGACTCGAGTTCGATCCCCGGCACCCCATGTGGTTTCCCTGAGCCATGCCAGCTAGATGACTTCTAAATCTCAGATCAATCATGAGCGAGCAAGGGGGGGGCCCTCTCCTGGGGTCTCCAGATGCATCCGGGGTGCACACCCTTTTCACCTCCAGTTCAGAAGCACTTTTGGAGAAATATCTCTGCTGCCTGCCTTCTACCTCCCAGAATGGAATGAATTTAGCGTGTGTGTGTATGTGTGTGTGTGTGTGTGTGTGTGTGTGTGTGTGTGTGTGTTGGACATCATGTCCAGCAGCATGAAGGAAGGAGTGGAGGTTCACACCCACAGTCCTGGGCAAATCAGGGGTGTCGAGGGCTACAACGCTGCCATCCTTTGCGCTATTTCCCGGCCCCTGAAATCCGTCTGTTAAACAGGACAACATGTATGTTAATTAAGCCACAGCCCAGACTGAGTCATAGTGGTAGGCGGGTGGTGTAGCTGTGTCGCCTCCCAGGGGATCCGCTGGGAAACTAGGGACGAGGTCCTGGGATTGGGCAATTTCTCAGAAACCCCCTTTCGGGGTCTTGGTGAGTATTTCTCAAAGCGTGAGGGGCTGCATCCATGCACCTGCTGCCTCCGGTGGACTCCAAGGTTCCCAGCAGTGCAGGTGAGGGTGTGAGATGGGGTAGGGGAGCAGCCCGGTGCCCCTGGTTGCCCTCAGCTTGGCTAGGTTGCATGGAGAGAAAGGACCAGGTGTCTCCTTCCTCGCCTTCCCCAGCTCTGCCCCCGCCAAGCTCTGAGCCGTCCCGGCCTCTCTCCTGAGGGAAGCCTTGGGTCTGTGTTTTAACAGGCAAGAAGTCAGAGACAAGACTAGGAGTGGGAAGAGGGACACTCCCAAACTGATTTGGGCCCTTTCCAGAACACTCAGGGCCCCTAGAAATCTGCCTTCTGTGAGGGAACACAAAGCGTCCCCTGCCCCCCAGGCACCCAGGGCTGCACCTTGGATTGTGCCGACCACCCAGGGCATCAGCCACTCTGGAAAACACGGAAGATGCTGAGCCACCATGTCCCCAGGTGCCCTCCCAAGGTACCCTGAGAACAAACTTCCCGTTCCAAGGGGCTCCTGGCCTCTGTCCAGGGGACACATGGTCAGTAACCAGCTTTCTGGATATAAAGTTGGGGAGATGGTATAGGAGTTCAGGCACTTGCCTTGCATGTGACCAACTCGGGTTCTATCCCTGGTATCACTAAGGGTTCCCTGATCCCTGCCAGGAGTGAGCCCTGAACACCGCCGGGTATGCCCCCCAAACAAACAAACAACAACAACAACAACAAAAAACCACAAAAAAGAGATCAGCCTGTTTGTGATTTGAAAACACTCTCGTCTGAAAGGGTTTCAGTCCTTCCCCACTGGCGAAAACTCACAGCTGGACCAGCCAGTTCATCATCAATACCTTCTTAGTGCTGGCACCCACCGCTGCTCTAATGCATCGCCCAGTGCCGGCGAAGCCAGCGCAGGCCAAGCAGGCCCGTGCATGCCAAGGAGCCGGAAACAGGCCGAGTGAGTCACTGACATTCCCCATCCCAGGGCGAGGCCCGCGCTCTCGTCTGCACATCAGGGACCCGCGCCAGAGTTCTCCTTCCCCCAGATCATCACCTCTGGGTAGGACCTGGACTTTTTTTTTTCTCGAAGCTTCTCTGGGCGACCCTCTTCCCCATCAGGTACCACCAGCGTTGAAGATCACTGATTTCAAGAACGCTCCCAGTGCCTCACCCTTGTTTGGCTACCCCATCTGCTAACTCACGTCACAGGGCTGGGCCGCCCAGAGCCAGCAGAATCTTGGCTCGGAGAAGGAGCAGCTGCGGTGAGGAAGGTGGAGGGAGCCTGGTCAGTCCTGCGGAACCTCAGCGCCCAGCTCCTGGGGTCACTGGCGCCCAGCTTCAGGTGCCCCAGACTTGAGCCCGGCGGAGAGGGAACACTGGTGGCCGAGGGTCCATGCAAGGCCCTCATCGTGTTGGCCTTTATGACCAGAGCCCATTGGCTAGAGCCCATCCCACCCCTAGCAGAGGGGCAAACACACAGTCTCAGAGAGAAGAGCATTTGGAACGTGCTCCCCAGGCCTGGGGTGGGTAAATGTCTATTTGGGTCATTTGGGTATTTATAAAGTTGTCCCTGGGCCACGTACCAAGGAGGCAGAAAAGCACATGCGTGTCCCATCATGCCCCAGGGCCAGGTGCCATGATTTTCCACGTGCTGGACATTTCCCAGCCCTGCTCCAGGCCAAGCACTGCCCTGCACTTCGGCATGAGCTGCTGAATTAAAGGTCAGCCTTGTCCTGGCCACCATCTGAGGCAGGGAGGAGCTGAAGTTTCCTGGGAAGAGCTGGATGGACGAAGGCTGCAGATTTACAGGCCACACACGGTCGTGTCCCAACCAGGCAGTCCATTCGAGAGCAAATGCAGTCAGAGCTGCCCCATAAATGCACACGTGGGGCTGCGTTCCCGGAAACGGGCCCGGGCCCAGCTTCAGCCCTGCGTGCTGTGTTGCATGCGTCATTGGCACGGAACTGTTGAAAAAGCATCTGAAACCAGCTGGACTCATGGAGGGGGGCGAAGAGAGATACACCAGGTGGATTTGATGGTAGATAAAAAGACAAAATGGGAGGCTGGGAAGATTGCATAGCAGGAAGGCATTCGCCTTGTCCGGGACCCCGATTTGGTCCCTGGCATCACATAGTGTCTCCTAGATACGCTCAGGAGTGAGCCCTGAGCATACCCGGGTGTGGCCCAGAAACCAAACATTTATAAAAGATAAAATGGGCAGGCAGCTGTACATAAGTAAGTAAATATTCATAGACGGAGAAATAAATAGATGAGAAAATAGCTGACAGATGTATGATAAATATTCATGAGCATAAATGTGCGTTGTCGAGTGGCGGTATTGGCACCCGTGTTCACTAAGTGTTCTGTTTGGAAAAAATGTTTAAAGAACTGTTTTTTCCTAAAACTCATGAAGTTTTTTTTTGAAAAGGGTGTTTGGACCACACCCGGCAGTGTGGCAGTACTCGGGGCCTCTTCATTCTGGCTCTGTGCTCAGGGGTCACTCCTGGTGGGTCAGGGGATCCCAGTGCCAGGGTTGGAACTGCGTCAGCCACGTGCAGAGCGAGCACCTTCCCCGCTGCATTGTCTCTCCAGCCTAACTGATGGTTTTGTTTGTTTGTTTGCTTTTGGGGTCACACCCAGCCACACTCAGGGGTTACTCCTGGCGGTATTCAGGGGACTATATGGGGTGCCAAGGATTGAACCCAGGTTGGCCGTATATAAGGCAAACACTCTCCCGCTGTGCTATCATTCTGGCCCAACTTATGCTCTAACAATGGCACCAACATGTAACTGTTTAGACTGGCAGTGCTGCCTCCAGAGCACCGGGATCCTGATCCCTCCACCAACGTCCCAGGACCCCCCACCCACTCATCCCCAAGCCTTCTCCTTACTCCTCCCACCATTCCGCTCCCTCTGTCTCTCACCAAGACTAGGAGTTCTCTACGTTGACAATTTTCTTCTTAATCATTGAATGTTGGAAAAAGAAAAAGAAACGAAAGTTTCCTCTATACACACATATGTATGTGGGTTGAGTATTTTGGGGGAAGGGGCATTAGTGGGTCCTCCCAAGTGATGTTCCGGCTATCCAGAGGCCCCGCTGACAATTCTAGGTCAAGGAAGATGAGGATTCTTTGCAAGAGCCTGAGAAATTGGTTCTGTCCTCGAGCCTGAAGTGTTGGGGTCTCAGGGACTACACATGGCAGTGTTGGAATTTTGGGGGCCACACCTGGCTCTGTTGGGTTCTCCAGGGTCACATCTGGCTGTGTTGGCGCCTCTGGGGTCACACCTAGCTATGTTGGGGTCTCGGTGGTCACATCTGGCCACGTTGGAGTCTCTGGGGTCATACCTGGCAGTATTGTGGTCTCCAGAGTCACACCTGGCAGTATTGGGATCTTGGGGGCCACACCTGGCTGTGTTGGGGTCTCCAGGGTCACATCTGGCAATGCTGGGATCTCGGGGCCACACTTGGTGGTGTTTGGGTCTCCAGGGCTATTCCTGGCCATGTTGGGGTCTCCGGGACCACACCTAGCAGTGTTGGGGTTTCTGGGGACACACCTAACAGTTTTGGAGTCTCTGGGGTCACATCTGGCAGTGTTGGGGTCTCTGGGGTCACATCTGGCAGTGTTGGGGTCTCCGGGGTCATACCTGGCAGTGTTGGGGTCTCCGGGGTCACACCTGGTGGTGTTGGGGTCTCAGGGGCTGCATTCAGGTCTGCTCCGAGGACCACTCAGAATCAGTCAGAGCAGCTGCATGTGTCGCCAAGGGCCCTAACTGTGCACTGTCTCCCTGGCCTCTACATGCCTGCACATGTTGGCACCCATCCATCTGTCCATCCGTCCATCAATTTAGGAGAGCTCTAAAGAGATCTCTCTGGAACCACAGGGAGGGGGTGACCCAATGGTCTCGGCAGTTTAAGGCACCAACACTGGCCGTATGGAACTCCTCCCTGACCACAATGGTAAGCTGGTTTGGGGGTGCAGAGGAAACGCCCCTCAGAGAGCCTCTGGCCGCCCTGTGTCTCACTTCTGTCCCCTGCAGTCTTCAGGAAAGTGGACTCTCTCTCAGAAGACGTCTCGCTGGCACAGGCCGTGTACGACAAGAAGCTCCTGTCCGTGCAGGAGAGTCTCCAGGGCTTGGGTATGTGTCTGGGCCAGTGGCTAAAGGGAGGCTCGTGGCAGCTGGGGTGCGGGGAGGGGCCTCTGTGTCCTGGTCCAGCAGGAAGCGGCTGGGGACTTGGAGGGTTCTGGGGGCCAGGCTGGCTGTTCACCCAGAGCCTCTAGGCAGAGCACAAAGACCAAGGCAACCAGTGACCAGGAAAGCCTTAGGGGCAGGAAATCTATGTTCGTAGGGGTCCCCCCAGCTGTGCTCGGGGGCCACGGGGGAGCGGTAGGGGGCGAGTGGGGATCAAACTCAGGTCTCCCACTTTACCTATCTCCTGATCCTGAAATGATTTACTTGGGGTGACTCCCAGTGGTGCTTAGGAACCTACAAGGTGTTGGAGATGAAATTGGGGCTCAACATGTCAAGTAAGGGCACCGCCATTTGAACCCGGTCTGGGTCAAAGAAAAAATTGGTGGGCCAGAGCAATAGAACAGTGGGTAGGGCGTTTGCCTTGCATGTGGCCAACCCCAGTTCAATCCCATCTGGTCCTCCGGGCACAGCCTGGGGTAATTCCTGAATGCAGAGCCAGGAGTAAGTCCTGAGTATTGCCGGGTGTGAGCCCCTACCCCCCAAAAAAGAAGAAAAAGGGATTGGGTTCTAGTAACAAGCTGGACGCTGCTGGCTGGCCCCTTCTCTGCCTCGTCACTTCTTGGTCCCAGTGGGGGAGAGACCCCACTCCTTCCTCCCCATGCTATGGTGAGAGGCTCAAATAAGTAAACAGACAGAAAAATATAAGCCCACACCCAGGTGTGCTTAGGGCTCAGCCCTAGTGAGGCTTGGGGGCCCTATGGGATCCCAGGGATTGAACCCTGGTCGTCGCATGCGAAGCAATAAACTACCTGCTGTTCTTCCACTCTGGCCCTGGGAAAGGAATCGATAAAGAGGTTACCTCACAGCGGGGAGGGCACTTGGCTTGCATGCGATTGAGCCAGATTTGATCCTCGGCATCCCTTATGATCCCCTGAGCACCGGCAGGAGTGGTCCCTGATGTAGAGCCAGGGGTGACCCCTGAGCACCACCGGGCATGGCCCCAAAGCTGAGATATATATGTTTATAAAGTGTCAAAGGGAGGTTCTCGGCAACCTTGGGAAAGTTGTGGGCAATGTCTAGGGGGTTTGGTGGCAAGAGGGACAAAGCGTCCTGACTCCTGCCTCTTGGGGGATGGAAAGATATTTGGTGGATGGAGGCTGGTCAGTGATCGGGCTGAGCATAGGCCTCGCATGCTGGGGGCCAGGCTTCATTCCCATCCCCGCATGGTCCCCTGATCATAGCCAGGAGTGAGCCCCAGCATATCCGCCTGTGACCCCCAGACAAATCTACAAAATGTTTGGTAAAAATAGTTAAGGTGGGGGCTGGAGCGATAGCACAGTGGGTAGGGCATTTGCCTTGCAAGTAGCTGACCCGGGTTCAATTCCCAGCATCCCTATATGGTCCCCCAAGCACCTCCAGGAGTAATTCCTGAGTGCAGCACCAGGAGTAACCCCTGTGCATTGCTGGGTGTAACCCAAAAAGAAGAAAGAAGTCGAGGTGGCCAAGCTGTTTGGGGAGGGAGCTCCCTGCAGGACAGGGGGCAGACATGGAGCAGGGGTCCATTTGGTACCCACTGTGCTCTGAAATTGCGTTTTTGTTCTAGGGTGGCGGCCGGTGGTGCTCAGGGGTTACTCTTGGCTCTGTTCAGGAGTCACTCTTGATAGGGCTCAGGGGACCATACTCAGTGCTGGGGACGGATCCTGGGTGGAGGTGACTGTGGCCACAGGCGAGGAAGCACCTTCTCCTTCACGCTAAGAGCCCCATGTGCTGGTCAGGCGCTGCATGTGCCACTAAGCGCCTCCGTCCTCACACAACTACTTCAAAACACTGTTCCCTTTTTCCTCAAGATCTGCAGGGCCCCAGCAACTGCTCTTTCTGCCAGGAGGCTGGTCAGCTGGGCCAGGAGATCCGAAAGCTGCAGGAGGAGCTGGAGGGTCTTCAGAAGCTGCTCCTGGCCCAGGAGGCCCAGCTGGGCCAGACGTCCCAGACCCACGAGCTCCTGTCCTCCACCAGCACTCAGATCTCGCAGGAGATGGGCATCTGCTCCTTCTCCGTCCAGCAGGTCAATCAGTCCCTGGGGCTCTTCCTGGGCCAGGTGCGAGGCTGGCGGGCTGCCACCACGGGCCTGGACCTCTCGCTGAAGGACCTCGCGCAAGAGAGCTACGATGTCAGGGCAGCCCTGCAGCAGATCAACTTCACGGCCGGGCAGACGTCCGAGTGGATCCACGGCCTGGGCCGGAAGACGGATGAGGAGAGCCTGACACTGCAGCGGATGGTCACGGACTGGCAGAACTACACGCGGCTCTTCGGCAGCCTGCGGGCCACGTCGGCCAAGACAGGGGAAGCTGTGAAGAGCATCCAGGCGGCCCTGGGCGCGTCCTCTCAGCGCATCGGCCAAAATGCGGAGAGCGTCCACGACCTGGCGCTGCAGGTGACCGGGCTGCAGCTGCAGCTGGACAACATCTCGTCCTGCCTGGACGACCACGAGGAGAACATGCATGACCTGGAGTACCATGCGCGCTACGCGCAGAACCGCACGGCAGAGCGCTTCGAGACGCTGGAGGGCCGCATGGCCTCACACGAGACCGAGATCGGCACCATCTTCGCCAACATCAACGCCACCGACAGCCATGTGCATAGCATGCTCAAATACCTGGACGACGTGCGTCTGTCCTGCACGCTGGGCTTCCACGCCCACGCCGAGGAGCTCTACTACCTGAACAAGTCCGTGGCCCTCATGCTGGGCGCCACCAACCTGCTCCGAGAGCGCCTGGGCCTGCTCAGCGTGCGCCTCGACTTCGACGTCCGCAACCTGTCCCTGGTCATGGAGGAGATGAAGGCCGTGGACACGCGGCACGGGGAGCTTCTCCGCAACGTCACCATCCTACGAGGTGAGAGTTGGAGGGGGTGGGGGGGAGGGGGAGGGTCCTGGGCATCCTCACCTAGCCACCTGCCTCCCTGCTCAGAGATCAGCTGAAGACCACCACACTGGGCAGGGGGCAGGGTTCAGGGCTGACTCCTGGCTCTGTGCTCAGGGTGCAGTCCTGGTGGGCTCCGGGGGACCCTTGGGGATGCTGGGGATAGAACCCAGGTGGGCTGTGTGCAAGGCAAGAACCCTCCCCACTCTGCTGTCTCCAGTGTCGTGGTCTGGTCTGGGGTCCACAGCTGGTGGTGCTCAGAGCTGGCTCCTAGCTCCCAGAGATCACTCCCGGGGTATTTGGGGAGACTCTAGAAGGTGTTGGGGATCGGACCCGGGTCATTCATGTGCAAGGCAAGGGCCCGCCCCACTGTATTATCTCTCTGGCCCAAGATGAGGGGGCAGAGTCACATCCTAGAATAATATCGGTTCGTTCACGATTGGCTCAGATTGGTTTTTCAATTCTTGACACTATATGGACACTAATGCCATGTGGCGAAGTTGTCAGAGCACTGCTGTAGTCGGATTCAGGCTGAAGTCCTGGCGAGGAGTGCCCAGCTGCTGGACAGTTTACAGACAGTCACCCTTGAACCACACAGGTTGCAGCTGAAAGGGCCCCTGGAGACACAGATTTTTTTTTCTCCATATAGACCCAGGTACAGTGACTCTACAAATGGAGTTTCTCTCCTTTTTTAAAATCAATGATTTTATTTATGTAATTAATTAATCTTGGTTTGAGGGCCACACTGGGAGGTGCTCAAGGCTTATTCCTGGCTCTGTGCTCAGAGATGACTCCTGGCTCTGGGCTGAGGGATCACACCTGGCTCAGTGCTCAAGGCTAACTCCTGGCTCTGTGCTCAGGGCTCACTCCTGCCTCTGTGCTCAGGGCTGACTCCTTGCTCTGTGCTCAGGGCTCACTCCTGGCTTTCTGCTCAGAGATCATTCCTGGCAATTCCTGTGGTGCCAGGGATCCAACTTAGATCTGCCATGTGCAAGGCAAGCACCCTAACTGCCATACTATCTCTCTGATTTTATTTTTTTTATTCTCCTATTTTTTAATGTCTGTTATCACCAGCCCAGTGGTGCTCAGTAGCTGCTCCTAGCTCATTGCTCAGGAGTGGGTCCATGTGTCGCTGGGGATCAAATCCAGACCCTGAGTGGCCGGAGGAAGCCAGAGCACTGCCACAGCAGGCTGTCCCCACCCCTAGGAGGCCAATGGTGTAGGCATCCCACTTCCCACCCTGAGTCGCCTCCCTCTGTGGGGCATGAACTGGCCCTGACGGAGCTGACCCTCTGGTGCCCACTTCAGGAGGTGACGGAGACATTCGCCAACACTGTTGCTTAGCACAGCCCAGGAAGAGGGGGGAGGGGAGCAGAGCGGGGGATGCGCTGGGGCGGGCACGCAGTCTGGAATGACGGCCCTGGGTCTGAACCCCACAGGGCACAACCTCTGCAGCACCCTGGGCTGTAACCTTGGGGCTTCCCGGCACTGCTAAGAGAGAGAGGGGATAGCAGAGGAGGAAAGCCCCAGTGGGCTCAGCTGGGATCACACTGCAGTCCCGGGGCCGGGCACGTTAGCCCCTGCGTCCAGCAGCCCAGGCCCCTCTCAGCACCTGCTGCCTCAGACCCCCAAGCCTGCATGTCTCTAACCTGCTGCCCCCCCCCCCCCCCCCGGGCTGACCCCATCTCTTCTCCCCGCAGGTGTCCCCGGGCCTCCAGGACCAAGAGGACTCAAGGGTGACGTGGGCGTGAAGGGACCCGCCGGTGGCAGAGGATCCAAAGGAGACCCAGGCAGCTTGGGCCCCCCTGGGCTGCAGGGGCCACAGGGACAGTCAGGGGACCCTGGACCTGTGGGGGAGCGAGGACCCGGGGGCCCGCGAGGTTTCCCCGGCCTCAAGGGCTCAAAAGGCAGCTTTGGAGCAGGGGGACCCAGAGGGCAGCCGGGTCCCAAGGGGGATGTGGGACCCCCAGGCCCACAGGGGCCCCCCGGACCTCCTGGGGCCCCTGGGCCTCAGGGAAAGCCGGGCCTGGCCGGGAAGATGGGGCGGCCAGGCTATCCCGGGCCCATGGGGCCCAAGGGGGACCCGGGCATCCAAGGCTATCCCGGGCCTGTCGGGTCCCCAGGTCCTCCGGGAGGCCAGAGTGGCTACTGAGGAGGGAGGGGGGGCCCGGTGGGGGCTGCTGGTGCCCACAGCTGTGGGGAGTCCCCCAGGCATGTCCCCAACCCTTGGGTCTCCCAAGATGAAGCACATTTCCAGAGGCCAGTGGGTGTCCCCTGGTGGGCAGGAGGAGAGGGCAGGGGACCCTTCCAGTGATGGAGCCTGCCAGGGGGCGCTGCCTCCGGGAGGCCCAGCCTCTCTCCCACTTTCAGGGCGGCCGTGCCCCCCTGGGCACCCCACGCCGGCAAAGACCAGGAGAAGCTTTGCAGCAGGTTTGGATGCAAACTCGGGGCGTGAGGACACACCCGTGGACACGACACCTGGGGACCCGAACCTGGGAGAGAGGACGCCCCGTCTCAGCCCCTCAAGCAACACCCCTCACCTCCCTCCTCTCTCAGGGGCATCTGAGAAGGGGTCCGAGCAGGAACACTCTGGAACATTCTGGAACATTCTGCCTCAGAGCCAGCCAGCTGGGAAGCAGAGGAGGCCCCCCTCGGAGGTCACAGGGCAGGCCGGAGGAGATGGGGACTCAGCATGGCCTCCTGGGCAGGTGGGGCGGCTGGGCCCCCCGATACACTGGCCACCCCAGGCCCAGGGAAGCCTTGGGGTATCCTGTCCCCACCCCCCGCTCTGGGGCAGGCGTGCAGCTGGCTTGTGCGCCCCTGGCCTCGTAACCCCGTGTGCTGCTGAGACGCAATTAGCACCCCAATAAAGGGCTGTTTCTAGGAAGGACGTGTCTGCTGGTCCTTTAGGCTGGGCCCCGGGGCATGATTCTGGGGCCGGCTCCCGGCTGGCCTCAGAGGAGCCAGAGGGGGCTTCCGTCCTCTTGCGTGAGGACCCTGTGCTCAGCAGTGGCTCTTGGGGGAGAGGGGGTGGTCTCCCTGAGAGAGGCAGGAGGCCGCTGAGATGCTCAATCCTCTTGGCCCCAGGCTCAGATGGGAAGATGGGTCAGGCAGGCTGGAGGCCACTGGCTTCCTCCCGCTGCCCCTTCGTACCCGGCGATGCTCAGGGCTGGCTCCTGGCTCTGACCGTGACAGAGCAGAAACTGGGCCTCCCGGCAGCACCCGCAATGCCTCCACCCTGCCCTGTTATGTACAGTGATGCCCACCTGCCTTCTGGTCACACCCTCTGAGCAGGGACCACAGGAAGGAGGCCTGAGGCCTGCGCAAGCCAACTCTTGTCCACATTGTGGTTCTCGGGGCAAGATGCAGAGCCCTCGGTGCCTCGTTAGTGGGGCACTAAGCCACATGCCAACCCAGTCACTCCCCAAAGGTCCCACCTCCTAATCCCTACCCTGTTAAGTTGGGGTTTGACTTCAACGTGAGGATTCAGGGGGTCCCAACCCTCGGCCTGGGCAGTGCGACTGCCACAATAAATGGATGGATAAATGATAGAGAGAGATGGATGGGGTGCGGATGGCTGGACAGAGGATGTCTGGACAGACAGGTGGCTCTGGCGAGGCAGCTGGATAGAGGTGGAGGGAGAGACAGATCGGTAGAAGAATGTGTGACCCAGGAGTCTGGAAGGGACCCTGGGGGCCTCCCACCTACCGTCTTCACACCAGGAACCTCTAGTCTCTCCTCCCTGACCCTGTGGGTTCCCACTGTGAGCAAGCAGGGGCCCTCAGCTCTGAGTGTGGCCTCTGGGTGGGGCGGGTGGAATGTCTGTGAGCCCGGGGAGGGCTCAGGAGTAGACTCGTACACTGCAGAGCAGAGCAGGCCTCGGCCCAGAGGCCCAGGTTGCAAGGGTGGAGCAGCGACAGCTCGGTGGGGAAACTGAGGCTGGAGAGAGGGGCAAGCTTGCACACACGGAACGAGCCCAGAGACGTTCGTAGGGGCTGTTGTGGAGACACACCTCTGTGTGTCTTGGTCCTGTCCCAACGAGGCTGCTGGCCAGCCAGCATGCCAGGGTCACCTGGGCCCTGACCCACACACGGGGCTGCGTGTGCTCTCGACTCTGGGAGCTCAGCTACTCCTGGCTGCCTGTGTGCCTGCATGAGTGGGGTAGAGAGAGAGACAGACAGAGAGATGGAGAGAAAGACAGAAAAATAGAGCTCCATGGGGCGGAGCCATAGCACAGCAGGGACTGCATTTCAAGAGAAATCTGGTCAACCCAGGTTGGATCCCCAGCACTCCAGATGGTCCCCCAAGCACTACCAGGAGTGATTCCTAAGAGCAGATTCAGGACTAAGCCCTGAGCACCGCCAGACACGCCCCCTACCACCCCTCCCCCCAAAAAAAACATAGAAAGATACAGAGATGGAGAGACAGAGTCAGACAAAAAGGCAGAGATAGGGGGCTGGAGTGATAGCACAGCAGGTAGGGTGTTTGCCTTGTACGCAGCCGACCCGGGTTTGAATCCCAGCATCCCATATGGTCCTCCGAGCACCGTCAGAAGCCAGGAATGATTCCTGAGTGCAGAGCCAGGAGTAACTCCTGAACATCACTGGGTGTGACCGCACCACCCCCCCAAAAGAAGGCAGACAGACGGGACAGACAGGGAGAAGGAGCATCTGGAATAGGGAACTGGGAGGAGTCCTGAGCACCATCGCCTGGTGAACCTCAAAAAAACTGATGGGTAAAAGCAATTAAAATCCAGAAACAGAGGCACAAGGAAATGAAAGAGAACTTACTTTAAGGTTTGAAAACATATGCAGTATCTTTTTCATCCTCACAAACTAAACAGGGCTAAGTTTTGCAGGCCAGAACCAAGACCCAGAGAAGTTCTGAGCTTCTGTCCGGGGTGCCAGGGATGGCCCAGGGCCAAGGAGCCCAGAGCCCTGGGAAGACTCGCTCCCGGAGTGGTGACAAGGTCCAGGCTGTAGGCTTGCCACACTCTGGAGATGCCAGGGGCCCATAGCCAGGGTTTCACGGTCCCCACCCGGAGAGGCAGAATCTTCTGGAAGGAAGTCAGCTGTCCACCCCCATCCAGCCTCCTGCCCCACAGGGGCCCACCCCCTTCCTGGTTGTCCCGCACATGCTCTGGAACGAGGAACCAACCGGAAGGTCTCTGACTGTATTCCGTCTCTTTTTCATCATGTTTTGTTTCCATACAATTAGAGTTGACATGGAGTTGGCCACAGAAGGCGAAGAACGAGCAAGAATAAGATCTGGAGATGAATTTATATTCAGCGTCCTCTAAGGAGCCATAATGTCCTGAGACATCAGCCAATAAAAGTATATATGTTTTAATTTACATTAAAATTTTATATTATATATTTTAATTGCATGGGGCTGGAGCAATGGGACAGCAGGGAGGGCACCTGCCTTACTCGGGTTCGATCCTCAGCATCCCATGACCACTGCCAGGAGTGATTCGTGAGCTGAGTGCAGATCCAGGAGTTACCCCTAAGCATCTCCAGGTGAGGCCCAAAAACTAAAGCTAAGAAGAAAAAAAATTGATGAGGAGCTGGAAAAATTATACAGCTGACAGTGTGCTTGCCTTGCACATGGTTGATCCAGGCTCATCCCGGCACCTCATGTGGTCCCCCAAGCCCACAGAACCGGGCGTAAACACTGCTGGGTATGGCCCCAAACAAATTTTTTTAAAGCTAAAACCATTTTAGATTGTTCTAATATTTTTAGAATATTTTATTCATATATACGGCCACAGTCCTCCCGTTGTTCATGGATTTGCTCGAGCGGGCCCAGTAACATCTCCATCATGAGACTTGTTGTTACTGTGTTTGGTATATTGAATACGTCACGGGTAGTTTGCCAGGCTCTTCTGTGGGGGCGAGATACTCTCGGTAGCTTGCCGGGCTCTCTGAGAGGGGTGGAGGAATCGAACTCGGGTCGGCCATGTTGGCCGCTTGTAAGGCAAACGCCCTACCCGCTGTGCTATCGCTTTTTTTTGGAGGCCACCTGGAGTGTGAAGGATTGAACCCAGGTTAACTCTGGGCAAGGCAAGCACCCTGGCCCCTGTGCTGTCACCTGGCCTCAATGACATTAACTTTTATTGGGTACCGGGGGGGTGTAATAAAAATAAAATAAAATAAACCAGTTCTGTTGATTCTGACTCGGTTTCCTCGTGACGGAAAGGGCAGGGCTGCCCTGCCCGGGAGAGGAATGAGAGTTTCCGTGGATTTCACCCAGCATCGTGATCCCCTGACCCGTCCGAGAGTCTGTTCGCCAGCTCCCTTCCTGCAGGGCCAAAGACATGGGCACACATCATGGGAAGCCTGGACATGCCCTGGACTTGTCTGTCACCAAACAAACAACGGAGGGGCTGCAACTGGCAGCCACATTGTGTCCGGGTGTTCGGATTCACTTCAGCTTCCTCCCCGGGAATGTTTTCCAAACCCTCGCGGTCTTGGGACCTCAGGGCTGCAAGGAGGGAGGTGGAAGGAAACTCAACCCTATCAGAATTTAGTTTGTTCATTTATTGATCTATTCATTTATTTTTGGATGTTGGGTCGCACCCAGTGATGCTCAGGGATCACTCCTGGCAGTGCCTGGGATCAGACCCACGTTGGTCATGAGCAAGGCAAGCACCTTACCCGCGGCACTATCTCTCCGGCCCTTAAACTTAGTCGTTTTAAAGGGCAAATAGACTTGGTAAGCCATTAGCTCTATTGATGGAGGAAAGCGAAGAGGGAAGCAACTAACACGGTAGGAACACGCGGCCCCACTGTAGCTCAGCAGGCAGATGGCCCCCGACATCAGCAATCCTGACAAAACAGACACTTTCCTTGAAAGACCAAAATCACAAGTGCAAAAGCATTGAAAATATTCATGGCCCTGTATTTATTTTAAAAGTCGAATTCCTAATTAAAAAGCCCTTCCCTACAGAAATCTCTTACAAAGGTAAACACACACCCTATGAGTCAGGGTTTCCGCTCTTTGCTATTTACTCCGGAGAAATAAAAACCTATTCCACACACACACACACACACACACACACACACACACACACACAAAACATGTACAAAAACACTCATAACATATTTCATCATCACTTCCTCCAACTGAAAAGAGCCCAAATATCCATCAACAGGAGAATGGATAAATAAATAGTGTTTTCATGCGATGAAAACCATTCAAAACAAGGAGGAGGAGAAAGAGAAGGGAAAGCGTGGGTAAAGAAAAGGAGGAAGGAGAGAAAAATGCAAGCAATATCATAAAAATCACTCGAACATACCATATTGGAGATGTGGTGGGTGCAAAAGAGAAAATAACTTGAATCCACTTCCCTTAAATAGCAGGTAAGGCAAAGTGACTCTAAACTCTAATGGTCAAACTGGTTTTAGTCTCCGGCGAAGCAGGGCAAGGCAGAGATGGGAGACAGTTAATGGGAAGAGCAGAAAACAGGTTTTTGCTATTCTGAACGTCTGGGTAGATGTGAGATGCACACAAACATACCCATGTATAAGTTTCATCAAACTCCACACTCTTGGGGCATTTCACACATTTCACATCCAACTTTTAAAAATTAGACAAGAATGGAAATTCACCTCCAGTGCCTCATGAGCCCAATCACAATCACAATCACGACCATCCTGTTATTCGTCGATTGCCTCGAGCAGGCCCCAGTAAGGTCTCCTTCGTCCTAGCCCTGAGATTTTTTTAAAAAGTACCATATTCAAGGCTTTTTCAGAGTTAGGAGAATGAGACCCTTCATTGTTACTAGTATTTGGCATATTGG